AGTGAGCTACACACCATCCATGGGATCGCAAAGACTCGAACATGACTGAACCGACCTAGCACACACACACGCAGCCTCTTCTGGCAAGTGGCACCACACTGGATGTCTCAAACAGAATATACTTTACCTTTTTATTTTGCCAACTTGCATTGCTTTTATTACTGTTTCATGAAAAGCACTTTGTTTTAAATATACCAATGTGCACATGTCAATCTTAAACTTCCAATTTATTTCTCCCCCCACCCTACCCCTCTGTAACTCTAAGTTTGTTCTCTCAGTCTGCAAGTCTGCTTCTGTCTTATAAATAAGTTCACCCTTGTAAACTATTACTGAACAGAGGTTTTTAAAAAATTGGCTTTATTTTATTTTAAGCTGAATAATTTGAAGGCTCAACTTGCAAATTTTTATGCTTTACTGGAATTCTTGAAAAAGTAGGATGATCATGGTAACCTACCCAGTATGTGCAATTGATTAGAATAACTTCTCCTGAAATGTTAGATAGTCAAAATAGAACGTTAGTATATTCAGGGGATTACTAAGAGGTGGTGGGACATTTGAAGACAATCCTATAATTCTTGGACTCCACTGTTCACCTCAGAGGTGCTGGGCTGCTTTGGAGGAGGAGGAGTGTCCACGGAAGAACCCTTTAAAAAGAGATCTAGCTCTTCAATTTATAACATTCTCTGTGGCCAAAGGATGGGGCCAAGTCAGGGCTCAGCATGGTCTTGGTTTACATCGAATTCCTCAAAGACACTGGGCTCAGCAGAGGGGTGCATGGGGCTCAGGGGAGCGGGAGTGAACAGTCTCTCAGAGAGGCTCCTGTGGTTCAAGTGGGCGAATATCACATCTTCTGCTGCAGGGTCCTCAGAGGAAGGAGGTGTGAATGATGGAATGAGATGCAATCTTCGAAGGCTGGGGCATTGGGCATTGTAGGGGCTCAGGCTATGGCAGGGTTTGGGCAGGGAGGACTCACCTCACCACTCAGTGTTTGATCTTCCTGGGGCTCTCCTTCCATGATGGCAACATCTGCGAATGGAGGAGAGTCAAGGCTTGTGGGGTGGGGGTGGGGGGTTCTTCTAGACCTCCATATCTTTGGTGGGCACATCAAACCCAGAAAAAGCAGGGGTGTGCATCAGGTTGCTTAGCCTGTCTAGTCCACTTAGAAACAACAACGACAACAACAACAAAAAACCATCCCATATATAAGCCCAGCCACTGACGGACTCTCAGTAACCTGTGCAAACACACGGAGCCCATTGTATATCCTCTGTTATGGACCATCCTCTAATGCATATCAGCAGGTTTGCAAGATCATAAAGGGGAGAAGAGCAGATGGCTCTGACTGGAGGGAAGATCAGGGCTTGGAACGTCCCTGGTGGCTGGGGATAAAGCGTCCTCCTTCCCGTGCAGACAGTGTGGGTTCTGCCCCTGGTGGGAGAACCAAGACCCCACGTGCTGTGAAGCAGCTAAGCCCCACAGGCTGCAACTGCTGAGCCCTCGAGCTCTGGAGCCTTGAACCGCACCCCAGCACCACAATTAAGATCCCCCATGCTGCTGCCAAACCTGCTGCAGCCAGAAATGAACACATATTTTCATATAAAGAACAGGGTTCCATGGTTCTCTGCAAGATATTCCCTCAGGGAATACAACAACAAAAATCAGTTCTTAACCTACAGGAAGTGACAACACCATTCTCTGCTCTGAGCCCACCTCCCCCTGGGTCAGATGACACTGTGCTTCCCTCCTTCAGACTTAATGATTCTGGGTAGAACACCAGTGACAGTTTGGCTCTGCACACTTACTTTTTGGGTAACCAGTGACAGACAAGAACAGCGAGGAAGAGGCTGGTATAGATGAAGGCTACGGAGAGCCTAAGGAGAAGGTGCAGCTGGCTGGAGTGGCCTTGAGGAAGCCGTGCTTCTGCCAACAAGCAAACGGGAGAAGTTCTGGTTATTCATTGCATACAACCTGTCCCGACACACAGGATTTATTGTATCCTTGTGTCGGAGTGTGTCAGCATCTCTCAACCTGATCAGTTATGGTCTCCACTTCCCAGGAGGCACCAAAGCATCCAGGAGAGATGCTAGCAGTGGATAAAGTAAAGAGCCTGTGCAAGACCAGCAGGGGTGTGAACCAAGGTCCCTCGGGCACTGATGCAGTTTTTCTCTGGTCCCCCTCATCAAGGCATGGTGTTTATGCATGATTGGAGACCCCTTTAATCCTCAATATGATTACCCCTCCATCCACATATACCTGGAATGGAATTCTCAAGAGGACACGACGCTTCTATTTCTGAACAGTGGAATGTTTATTTCATAAAACAATAGGAAAAGAATAGCACATATTAAAGTGCTCCCTACAATTCTCCTCTTCTCCCCCACCGCCACCATCCTTCCCCAAAGATCCTGGTGGAGGGAAGGTAAGCATCTCCCTTAAGCATGGGGTCAGGTCACTCAGACCCACTCTGTCCAATTTAGAAATTCCCAGTCCCAGACCATGAGAAACTCAATGCCCCCTTTGGTTCTAATACAGACCATGATCTCAAATGCTGACATGACAGGAACGTTGAGGAGCCCAAAGTCACAGAAATGGGAGGTGGTAGAACCAACACTCACACAGGAACCCTCTGTCTTCTCAGATACTTGCTGAGATAGGAGACAGTCTTGCTTACCTTCTGTGGTGTGTGGATCCATGGTTGATGGGCAAGTACTTGTAGTGGATTCTAGGAGAAAGTAGACAGAAGGGGTGAGCAAGTAACATACCTCGCCCCATGAGTGAGGACTATTCTTTTTGGAAATTTGACCTCCTGCCTGTCTTTTGACTCTGTCATCCCCCAGAGCACCGATGGGGGAGGGGAGAGCTTCTGGTCCCTCCCCATGAATGCATTGAGTAGACCCTCCATCCTGAAGAAGTGACGGTGGAAGGAGGCAGGAAGGATAAGCCTGGTGAAAGAAAGCTATAAGCAAGAGACATTATTTCTGCTCCAGGAATGAAAATCTATGCTCCCTAATTGGGAAATCACCTGTATGTCAGAGGTGCTTCAGGAAAACACTAAGAGCAAGGGGCAGATGCAATCTCTGATCTTCCCAAAGCAGCCCAGCCTCTCCTCCTCCTGGGTCTACCCTGACCCTTTTCTTTATCTGCCTGGATAGACAGGACTCTGATGAAGAGCATCCACACAGGAGGTGGAAGAGGGTTGAGATGCCCTCTACCATCTCTCTTTCTCTCTGATTCTCATTGCTTCCATTTCTCCAGAAGCCCTAAGGTCCCCTGACACCAGCACAGGGCCCTTGAGATAGAGCTCATGATATAGTAAGATGTCATGGAAAAAGCCAAATGGACTTTTTGCACAGCGCAATCTCATTTACTATATTGTAAAGCATGGGACTCTTCATGGGTTCTCGCTGGAAGGATCCTGGAGTGGGTAGCCATTTCCTCCTCCAGGAGACCACATTTTGTCAGGACTCTTCACTATGACCATCAGGCTTGAGTGGCCCTGCACGACATGGCTCATAGCTTCATTGAGTTACACAAGCCCCTTCATCACGACAAGGCTGTGATCAATGAAGGGGAGATAATGAAGGACAGGGGAGTCTGTTGTGCTGCAGCCCACGGGCTCACAAAGTGTTGGACACAACATAGCGACTGGACAGCAACAAGAAAGCTGGGCCTGGAGGAGGGTCCTCACCTGTGACAGACAGGAGCAGGGGGTCGCTGGGGTCTGACCAGGCCTAGGGAGAGTGAGTGAAGGAGCCGTAGCACCTGTAGACCCCGCTGTGGGCTGGGGTCCCAGGACCCAGAGGGAACGCTGCCTGGAGTGCTCCGTGGGGGCCCCGCCCTCCAGCGAGCAGGCGCCCAAGGTTCTCCCTCTCCCTGAGCAGATGGAACTGGTCAAAGGCATGCTCGGAGCTGCAGAGCAAGGTCACGTTCTCTCCTAACCTCACCACGGGACCCCCCTCGTCTGAGAGAGAGGGTTTCTTGAACAGACCTTGAAGGAAGACCTTGATCTGAGAGCATTGAGTAACTCTAGTCCTAAATAGAGGCCTGAAGCCAGAAGTGTACAACGAGAGAAACATTGCAATGAAAAGGCCGCCCACCACCAGGAGAGAAAGCCCTACAGCAAGGAATACCCAGTACAGGGGAAAATTCAGACTTAACTTTAATAATGGAGTGTCACTTAATATCCTTTTTTAATCAAAGAAATATAAATAAATGAACAACTGAATCACTCTTGCGTACAACGGGAAATAACAACATCTTAAATCAACTAGAATTCAACCAAAAAAGAAAATTTAAAAATCAACCAGATTGGGCTGCTCTTGAAAAATGGAACCTAATAACTATTGCTGGGACCCTAGGAAAACATGGTAATGATCCAGATGCAGATATCATGGAGTGGAAATTGGCAGAACCTCGCAGGATATTTGACCACCTCACTCTTGAGGGAGTGTTCAACACTGCTCTGCCCACTCCCAGGGGCTGGAAGGGACTCCTTAGTGGGGAGGGTTGGCAGGGAGAACGCCTTCCTCTTTGGGCAGAAGGACGCGTTAAACCACAAGGCTGAGCAACTTCAAGGTGTTGACCTCAGTCCTGACCACCCAGGGGCTAGATTGCAAGGGCATCTGCTACCACAGTGCTCCTGGCAGAGGAAGGGAGCTCTGACATGAAGGCGGGAACCCGGCCCCTTAACCAACCATCGTTGGCTGCCTGAGCCAGGAACTGCCCGGGTCCCTGCTCTGGTGCATCTTTCTCCATCGCTCGTTCTTTCACGTTCTTGCTGCTTCACTCTGTCACTGGTGGTGTCTTCTCTTTAGCACATGGCAGGTGCTCTGTTCTCTTTCCCTTCCGTGTTCACACCTCCTCTCTCTCTGGTTTGTTCCCTCTCCCGAGTGCATGAGTGTCTCTGCATGCCCGTCATTGTCTCCGCGTACTGATGCTGGACTGGACACCAGAACTTCTGTGACACAGACAGCAGAGGGGACTGGTCTGGACACACTCACCTGTGATGACGATATCCACAGGGTCACTGGGGGCTGACCACTCATAGGGTGAGCGGCTGAGAGAGCCGTAGCATCTGTAGGTGCCCGCACTCTCCAAGGTCATGGGGCCAATGAAGAAGTCAGCTGAGGTATTCCCACCCGGGAGCGTCTCTCCACATCTCTGGAAATGCCCTGTGCTGTTTTCCTGGTGCAGGATAAACTTGTCAAACAACAGCATTGAGTGACAGCGAAGGGTCACATTCTCTCCCGCCTTCATGAGGGGCCCTGGGTGGGCTGAGATGGCGGGTTTTGTGAACACACCTAGGAGCAAAGAGGTTGTGAGCTTCAGTGAGTCATGCCGCCTCAGCGCTTCCCCTGACATCTGAAGGTGTGAAAAATGTCCCCATGAACCAGCAGAGCCAATTACCCTTCCTGTCTGTTCTGTGGCATTCTCTCTAGCCTTGTTCTCGGGCTCTGGCTCATGCTTTTCTGTTTCTCTTTGCTCAAGACCTCCAGCCTCCTCTGTGCTTATTCTAAACTCTTTAGCTGCTGGATCTGCTCTCAGCTTCATGCATGCATGCTCAGTCACTTCACTCATGTCCGACTCTGTGGGACCCCATGGAATGTAGCCTGCCAGACTCCTCTGTCCATGGGATTCTCCGGGTGAGAATACTGGAGTGGGTTGCCATGCTCTCAGCTTCATCCCATCCCTAATATTCATGGTGGGGTGCTGGGTGGTTCTGAGGATGCATAACCTGGCTCCCTTCACACTCAGATAGAATGTGGGAGATGTCTGGCAGGATGGTGGGATGGAGGTGGAGACAAGGGAACATTTCCCATTTGACCCCATCTCATGCCTCTGGAGACTTTCCTGAGACTCCTCCCTGGGGCTCCAGCTCCTTCTTCGGAGACTACAGCTCCCTACTGCGTGGCAGGTGCTGGATCAGAGTCGTTCCCCATACCCCTACTGGCAGGCAGTGGCCGCACCTTGGCTAACTAATGCTGAGGGAGTCTCCTCCTTCCTGAGCCGAGCACCCCATCTATTCAACACCCAGAGTTTAAACTCTCAGACTGGGTTCTCTTTCCTGGTTCATTTCTGGCTAGGAATCACTAAGTCTTGAACCACATAATGAACTTGGACCTAGGGTGGGATTGCCTGCATAGAAAGCTGTCCCAGGCTTGGCTGGACCCCTCATACCTGTGACGACAATCTGCACGGTATCACTGTATATGGGCAACAGAAGGAGAAACCTGGAGAATCCAGAACACGTGTAGGACCCAGCATGTTCTCTGGTCACCGGGCCAAGGGTGAAGTTGTTGAAATGATTTCCCTGGAGCTCGGACAAACTGGTCCCATCTGTTTTGAACAGTCTGAATCTCTTAAGCGGAGAACGGAAGTGACACTGGAGAGTCACAGTCTGTCCTAAGGGAACCACGGGGCTTGGCCAGGCTGACAAAGAGGGCTTCTCAAATTCAGCTAGGAGAGATGGAGGCACAGGCTTTGAGAGGAAAATAGGAACAGTCTCCTCTCCCCACTGCTCTTGTTGGAGCGCTTCCCCTTCAATTCTTCCAAGATACCTACTCTAAAGTGCATCACCCTGATACTCAAGGACACCTAGGGCTTGGGGACAGACAGAGACACAGTCAACCCAGGACAGACATCACGGAGAGCTTAAGGATGTGATTCTGAGCAGTGATTCTTCACAGGAGAAGAAAAAGTCCTTGGCTTGATAAAATGTTGAAAACTCTCTCGAAACACAAAACACTGGGGATTCCTAGGCGGTCAAGTGGTTAGTACTCAGCACTTTCTCTGCCAAGGGCCCGGGTTTACTCCCTCATCAGGAAACAGATCCTGAACACTGTGCAATGCATGCAAAGGAAAACACCACAGAAGAATCATGCATGGAAAAGAAGTTAAAGGACTTCCGTGTTGTATTTTTTGTAGCTCAAACAGTAAAGAATCTCCCTGCAAAGAGCAGGGTTCAGTCTTCAGGTAGGGAAGATGCCCCAGAGAAGGAAATGGCAACCCACTCCAGGATTCTTGCCTGGAGAACCCCATGGACAGAGGAGCCTGGTGAGCTACAGTCCATGGGGTCACAGAGTCAGACTTTTTTTTTTTTTTTTTTTTAGTTAATCATACATTTTATTTATTTATTTTTTTCACAACCATAGTGTATCTTTTTTTTTTTTTTTTACATGTATTCCCCATCCCGGTCCCCCCTCCCACCTCCCTCTCCACCCAATCCCTCTGGGTCTTCCCAGTGCACCAGGCCCGAGCACTTGTCTTATGCACCCAACCTGGGCTGGTGAACTGTTTCACCCTAGATAATATACGTGTTTCGATGCTGTTCTCTTGAAACATCCCACCCTCACCTTCTCCCAGAGTCCACAAGTCTGTTCTATACATAGGAGTCTCTTTTTCTGTTTTGCACATAGGGTTAACGTTACCATCTTTCTAAATTCCATATATATGTGTTAGTATACTGTAATGGTCTTTATCTTTCTGGCTTACTTCGCTCTGTATAATGGGCTCCAGTTTCATCCATCTCATTAGAACTGATTCAAATGAACACACTGCCGGTGGTTCGCAGAGTCAGACTTTAGAGAGTGACTAACAGTAACACAACTAAGAAGAGAAAAAGCCACTTGACTGAGAAGCAGGAAGGGAACAATGAACCTCACTCCTTTGTTAGCTAGCCTCCATTAAATGTGGGACAAGGTCCAGGTGGCCCTGCCTGATGCCCAACCCCTCCCCTGGGGTCAGGTCTAGCGGGCGGTCCTGCAGATCCTTTTGTGAAGGGCCGGTTGGAGATGCCACCTTGTTGGAGAGGGGTCTCTGGGCTGCAGCCCCTTGCTCCCCACTCATGATAGAAAGGGCAGTCAGGGGGCCCAGCTCCCAGCTCCCAGACTTCACACTGTCCCTTCAGGTCCAGAGCCCATGGCCAGGCTAACCTCTGGAGAGAGTGAAGATGAGTATCAAGGCCAATAGAGGACCTGGGATCCACAGGGCCCACGGCTCTCACTGTACTGACAGGGGTCTCACCCTGCCCCCCAGTGTCATCTGCCTCAGCCCCGCCTGCTCTGCTCAACACAGAAGTAAGGGATGGGGAGGACTCACCCACAGCTGCCCAGATCCTCAGACTCACACAGAATCCTAGAAGGAAAAGCCCGTCAGAGATGGCTCGTCCCGATGGACCCCACGCTCCTTGCACCCTCATCCAGGGAAGCTTGTCAGTGGTGTGGAGACCCCCGATTTCCACCATAAACCTCTCCTACCGGGTCTTTCCAGACTCACTGAGACTCAGGAGGCTGAGGAGTGTGGGGTACATGGCTCTGCTTCTGTGAGTCAGGAGGCAGGACTGAGCAAAGCTGACTGAGTCACAGGATGCGGAAGGCGGGCGGTGTTGTTCGTACAGTCAGCCAGGTGCAGGTCACAGGGGAAGATGGCCAGCCTCTTCTCACGCCAGGGATTGAAGTGTGTCTGAGCCTCGTCAGTGAGGTCACCTCATGACCTGAGCGTCACATTTTGTTTCCCTGAACACTATAAACGTAGGAGGATTTGAACAGCTCTTGCTGCCATCAGGAGTAGAAACAGTGATTTGGTGTATAGCATGCAGGATGCTTTCCCCAAGCTCATGATAAATGTCATTAACCTTAAGTCTTTGAAGAAGAGAAATCACATGTACCCACCTCATATCTCAGGCTCAGTACAGGTTACCAATTAAAGACTCATTAATAGAGACTTTGATTCTGCATTCTTATAAGAGGAACAGTCATGCATATTATGGCTCTTCGAAAAGTGTAAAAAATTGTATATTGTAATATATGTGATTAAGAAACTAACTAATTGTGTTAGTTTCAGCTGTACAACAAAGTGATTCAGTTATACATATACATGCATCTATTGCTCTCAAATTCTTTTCCCAATTATGTAGTTACAGAATATTAAGTAGAATTCTCTGTTTTTACAGTAGGTCCTTCTTGGTCATCCATCTTAAATAAAGCCTTGTGTATATGTCAATCCCAAACTTCCAATCTAACCTCCCCCTGACACTATCCTCCCTGGTATCCATAAGTTCATTCTCTGTGAATCTGTTTTATAAATTAGTTCATTTTGTTAGATGTCACAAGTAAGCGAAATCATGTGATTTGTCTTTCTCTGACTCTTCTTCATCTGAAATTATTTTGTGACTGTGAGTGGAAACTTTGCACACACACACCCTTTCTGTCTCTCTCTCTTGCTCCCTTTCCAATCCAAGAACCACACATGTACACAAAGATAATGTGTGTAAAGAAGACTTTGATGTTTTGGGGGGAGGGGGATTTGTTTTGCCTGAAAAGGTGGACAACCTTGCTTACTACATACTCAAATGAACACAAAATACGTCTAGTAGATACTTCCAAACTCCAGAATGCTTGAGTGAGAGGCATGTCCACAACAATCATCTCCAAACAGGGACAAAATGGCCCAGCTGTTTCCGGACTCCAAGAGCAGTCATACACCCAAATCAGCTGTTGTTCATAGACAGGAAAGAACCTCAGTAAGGGCAGTGATTCCACACCATTTTGCTGGGGTCAGGGGTTGTTAACATTATTGATGCTCCCTAAATAATAAATCTAATCTCCTCTTGATCATTATGTATGTAAAACACTAACAGTACAGTCGTTCTTCTTAAACTTTCCTTTTATTTACTTAATATCCTGTTACCGAATTGATCTATATTTTTTGTCATTTCAGTGTGTGCATTTTTCCTGCCATATATTATTTAATTCCAGAATATAAACCACAAATTTTTTAAAATTAAAACAATTTTGAAGTGTATTTCATTTCTGTGGTACAGCAAATTGATTCAGCTGCACATATATATTCTTTTCCATTATCATTTATGGCAAGATACTGAATAGAAGTCCCTGTGCCATGCTGCAGGACCTCAATGTTAATCCATTTTATGTAAAAATAGATTTCATCTGCTAATCCCAAACTCCCAATCCTTCCCTCCCCCTTGACAACCACAAGCCTGTTCTCTATGTCTGTGAGTCAGTTCCTGTTTCATTGATATGTCCTTTTCAGATTCCACAGATGGGTGGATATCACATGAACCTTGTCTTTCTCTTTCTGTCTACTTCACTTAATATGTTAATTCCAGGTCCATCCATGCTGCTGCAAAAGGCATTATTTCATGTTTTAGATCTCTGAGTGATATTCCGTTCTCTGTGTGTTTAAGCATATCCATTTTATTTATTCATTCATCTGTCGATGGACATTTAGGCTGTTCCTATGTCTTGGCTATTGTAAGTTTTGCTGCTATGAACACTGGGGT